ACTACACACCTATTTAAATGGCTACAATTTTAAAAAGCTGCCAAGTGCAAGAATGCGGAAGTACTGGGACTCTACGCTGCCGGTGGGAAGGTGAAATGGCACAGACACTCTGGAAAACAGTTTGCAGTTTCTTACAATGTTACCCATGCAGGAGCTGGGGGGTGGGGACAGGGGGCAGGTGGACAGCAAAGGGGAACCCGGGAGTTTTTGGAACGATGAAATTGTCCTATATATTGATTGAGGTGGTAGTTACATGACTGTCAAAATTCATAGAAAATAAAAAGAGAATTTTTTACGATGTTAATTTTACTTTAATCTTAAAAATGGGGGGGGAGGGAGTAAAAAGCAAAGACAGCAATACCCCTGTGTGACTAGGCAATTTGACTTCTCTGTGCTTCCAGGTTTTTTGTTTTTTGTTTTTTGTCTTAAATCCATACCTTGAGGATTTTTTTAAAATCTATACATTGAGGATAAAATAGTCCCTTCTTTATATTGTCGTAAGAATGAAAAGATTTAAATCTCTCATTTATGTTTCCATTTATGTTGTAAAGATTAAAATGTAAGTCTCTCATTTATGCAATATAGGTAAAGACCTGGAACATAGCAAATGCTAGAGCATTTTTGGCTGTTATTTTTAGTCCTATTATATATACTCATGTATTGCTCTTTGAGGAAGTTTGGTGATGAAAGGGCACTCAAGGGCTGGGGTAGTCTGAAGACGGGGAGAGCGAGGCCCATTGACTCACGCAGAGTGGAGGAAATCCATGAGAAGAGAATGAAAGACAAAGAGTCATTCTCAAAGCACAGACCAAATCCTGTCCCACGAAGGTGGCATCAGCTGCCTGCTTTAATAAATAACTCCCTTTCACTTGTCAACAGCTAATTAAGTAATTTCTGGAGGCCAGAAGTGACTTGCTGGATTTAATGACAGGCCCGCCGCAGCTCAAAATGTTCAAATCCCTTCTCTGTGTTATAATCCCAAACCTAAAAGAATGGAAAGACCAAACCAACCTACCTCCTCGCTACACCGCATCCGATACGGTTAAAGTAACACCTCCCCATATTTATTTGAATGGTCTGCTCTCAGCTTCAGCCAAGCAAAAGTCACGTGAATGTTGGTCAGAAAATGGAGGGCTGTTCCCAGAGTTCTGGCCGGTCGTCATGACAGACTCAGGGAATTTTCATCAAAAACAGAAACCAGAGAAAATGTAAGTAACTATAACTCTCAGGGATTAGTGCCCTGCTGGGTCACTTTCTCAACAGAGTGGAAATTGTCAGAGACTTCGTAAGAATTAGAATGCTCCATGTGACAATTTATTTTAGCTCCTAGCTTTTCTTTCTAGGAGGCAAATCAGTGCAACTTTTCTTTCTGCTTCGATTTTCAGACAGGCTTCACCTAGCTACCCTATCAGAGACGCTGAGGTTACCTCTTTTAACTTCTTTTAACAGGTGGGGAGATAGATGGAAGTGGGTTTTTGGATAAGATGGAAGTGGGTTTTTGGATAACTGCTAGTAAAAAAACAAATCAACAGCTGATAGAGCTAAGAACAGCAGGTTGGATTGATGGTACGGTCTCAGCAGTTGGAAGCTCAGGAGGCCAGGGCATCAAGGAATAAAACTAGCTGCTTCACTCTGTGCCCCCAGAACACAGAACATAGGGCGGGGGGGCACAGAGGCTTAGCACCCACAACTTGAATGTCCACATTGCCAACCTGCCATTCCTCCAAGCAGCTGAGGAATTTCCTTATTTTATCTTTCAGCCCACCCATCCACATCATTTCTAACTGATGAGGACTTTTAAAAGTACAACCACAAAAAAGAAATAAAAAAATAAAAGTATAACTATAATACCATTAATATAACCAACGAAATCAGTAATAGTCATGTAATATCATATAATACCCAGTCCGTGTTCAGTTTTCTCTGGTTATCTCAGAAATGACTTTTATAGAGCATTTGTTCAAATCACAAACAGTATCCGTACATTTCATCTAGTAATAAATCTCTGAAACCTCTAATCTACACGAGTCACAGGAGTTTTTGGTCTTCATTTATCCATTTATTATTTTTTTAGGTATTTATGTATTCATTGAATAGAGAATGCTTCCAAGGTGGTATAAAAAAAAAAAAAATCCAAAAGGTACATAATGAAATATCTCTCAGTCTCCTTCTCCAGAAGCAATGCTACAAATTTTGTGTGTAGCCTCTAGAAACGGTATCTCCCGGGATAAGCATGCCTGTCCCTGAAACTGCTCTGGCATGCTGGTTAAGAGCGAGGACAGGAGTTCCAATCTCCATCACTTAACTAAGTACAAATCTGGGGTATGTTACCTCACCCCCTGAGCCCCAGTTTTTCCTGTCGTAGGTGGGTTGTTGAGAGAATGAAATCAGGTTAAGTGCTTAGTTATGTGTTATTATATATATTCCCCTCTGGCTTTTTCCAAATGCACATTTCTATTAGTTTGGGGTTTGTTTTTGTTTTTTTCACCTCACATATTTTGATGATCATTTCATACCTGTTCTTATAGATTCACATCATTGTTCGGAACATTTTCTTCCTTTGGCTTCTTTGCTCTCCCACCCATGGATTTGTTCCTAACTCACAAGCTCCTTGACTGGTTTCTCTTCTCTCCTGTGCAGGTCAGTCCCCACGGCTCTTCTCTCCTCTAGCTACAGTTTCTCCACAGGTGATAGCCATTCCTCTGGCTTCACATACCAAGATGAGGCCATGGAGGCCCTTAGGTCATAAAATTTAAGAAGACATTCATGCTTGAGCTCGTGCAAGAGGGGGTTGATCCCAGAGAGTGATTGTCCCTTTAAGTTGCATGCCCTAGGCGCCTTGCTGGCCTCACCCTAGTTTCACCTCCCTAAAAACCTCCACCTTCTCCCTGGACCTCCGGACACATAAATCCTATTTGGCACCTCTACTCGCATTTCTTAGGTGCAACTCAACCTTCAAATGTCTAAAACAGAACTCCTGCCTCACTTCCCACTCCCATGTCCAGACCCACACCTTCTACTTGTCTATGTCAGTTAATAGCATTACCATTTATTCGGTTGCTTATCCTTGATTCCTTTCTTTCAACAAGTCCTATCTTCTATCTCCAAGATAGATTCCAAATCTGATAACCGCTCACCACCTCTACTGCTGCACCTTAGGTCGGGCCCCCGTCTCTTGCCACTGTGAATACTCCCTGCCTCTGGGTCTCCCTGCTTCCACACCTGCCCTCCTCCCTCCCCTCACCCCCTCATTCCCGCTAATCAGCAGCCAGAGTGACCTTTTCACATCATGAAGAAGACTGTGTCCCTCTCTTACTTAAAACTCCCCATTGGCTTCCCAGTGAATTTAGAATTAAAAGCCAACTCCTTACCATGGTCAGTTGACCAGGACCCAGCGGGTGCAACAGTCTGATCCCAGTCTCGCAATCCCACTTCACCTCCTCTCACTCACCAGGTTCACGGGCTCACTGCTGCCCCAGCTGTGTTCCTTTTCCCAGGAATGCTCTTCCCCAGGTATTTATACAGCCACTTCCTTCCAGGCATTCAGGTACCAGCTCAGGTGTAACAGCTGACCACCCATATCCATTCACTCAATCACTCAAAATTCCATTGCCCTGTTTCATTTCTCCATAGCAGCGCACTCTGTGAAAGTGCTTTTTGTTACCATCTCATAATAGCCCCCCAAAGGTCAGGGGCTTAAAACAAAAATTTATTAGTTCAACTGCCTAGGTCTTGTTTGGGTTGCAGTTAAACAGCAGCTGGGGTTGGAGTCACCCAGAGACTTTTCTGGGCTGTACGTCCAAGACTCTTCCCTCCGGTGCCTGGTGCTCCTCTGGGTCGCCTTTTTCTCCAGCAGAGTAACTTGGACTTCCCCAATGACTGCTCAAGCCTCAAAGAGAAAAGACATAGGAACAGCTGATCTTCTTAGAGGCTAGTCTGGGATGGGCACGCTGTAGTTCTGCTGCCATATTCAGGTGGCCAAAGCAGTCACAAACCAGCCCAGCTTCAAGGGGACTGAGGAGTAAATTCCTCTAAAAGGGAAGTGCCATGTGTGTAGAAGGAGGAAAGAAATTGACGGCAGCCATCTTTGGAGATAAGCTATGAAATTTACTGGTTTACTTGTTGTCTGCTTACTCCCCTTAGGTTATAATCTCCACGAGACAACAGGGACCTTGTCCATCTTGTATCCAGCACCTAGAACAATGCCTGGCATACACCAGGTGCTCAGTAAATAAGTTAAAGGGCACTTGATAAATGTTCGGGAAACTAAAATGGCCTGAATTAAACTTCCCCAGATTGGTCTTGCCAGGTTTGCTGATGCTAAGCCTGCTGATGCCTCACCAGATAAGAGAGACCCTACATTTATAAAGGATTTCATTTCCTATGCAAACAAGAAAAACTTGCCCTGAACACAAAATCTAGAAATAGATTTGGCATGTTTTCTAAGTGGAAAATATTTCTCGTGTCACCAGAAATTATTTTCCCACAGCTTGTGCGACATCAAAATATTGAAACTGACTGAAAATACCCCATTTTTTAAATCTTGGTGTGGATTAGAAACAATTTTTTCTTTTTTGGAGCAAAGGAAACAGAAATACTTCCTGATGTTTGAACTCCCCCAGATATCCCCAAACTGAAAATGTCATTTCAAGACAGATTAAAAAAAAAAAAAAGACTACTGAGAAATGTCATTAAAAGTTTGGTCATCAACATGTACAGTTTTTGGTCATGAAGCCAGTACTTGTTTATTTAAGTAATTACATACGACCAAGGGCAGAAAAAATTCCCTCCAATCTCCTCTTTGTTGGTCTTTACTGGTGAGTTCTATAGAATAATCCTATGTTTAAACCTTTTTCTAAATCCCTCGAAAATTAATAAGTGAGAATGTATTCACCTAAAGGATTTTAGTGATTTTTGAAGTTAAAAAGGATTTAATTTTTGAAATTACACTCGCAGGATACCACTAATGAAATTTCTTCTAATCTTTGTTTTATCTTTAGTTTTCCCAGATTTGCTCCAAGTGATCCCTGTGAGCATCCACGTCAACGTCATCCTCTTCTCCATAATCCTGGTCATTCTAACCATGGTGGGAACAGCCTTCTTCATGTACAATGCTTTTGGCAAGCCCTTTGAAACCCTGCATGGTCCACTAGGGTTGTATCTTCTGAGCTTCATTTCAGGTGAGCACAAAATTCTACTTCTACTTCAAAGTACTTCTACTCTGACACAAAGACAAATGTGCTTTCCAAGGTGTCAAAAGACAGGTCTACCTGAATATAAAGTGACAGTACATAGACATGGATGTCCATTGTAGCATTATATATGATCGCCGAAGGGGAGGAAAACAGAATTATCCAACAATAAGGAATTCGAGATACACATTGTGATAGTCTATATGGATAAATGCTGGCATTAAATTATATCTTTGAAGATGTAATCAAAAGGATGCATGCTTGTATCAAAAAGTTAAGTGAATAAAACTGTGTATAAGATTTTATAAATATAAGATTTATAATCATAAGATTTTATGAACCAAATTTGATTATATATAAATACAGACAACATATATAAATATTTATATTGTACATATACTCTTTCTAGCCTCCATATAGACACACACACACACACACACATAGAGAGAGAGAGAGAGCTCATCTGTTCTGTTTGTAGTAGTTACTTCTGAGCAGTGAACTTATGGGTGATTTTCACTTTTTCTTATACTTTTTAATATTTCCAAATGTTCAATAATATGCATGTATTTATTCACAATCAGGAAAATAAATAAAAATTATCCAAAAAAGAAAATTATCCACTGGCTCCATAAACAGCCAGTGTTCTGCCCACATGAGTTGTCATATTCAGGCCTATAGGTACTTTGTGTAGCCTAATGATAGGTGTATCTGAGAAAAAAATAAACTCTAAACTCAGAAATGGGTTCATCAGTAACATGTCCTACTCAATAACTAAGGCTGATGGGAAAGAATAGAAACCCCAGATAGTGCCACAGGGTGCTTAGGATATTTTTACCAGGAGAAAAGAAACATGAGAAAATCAAAACTGTACATGTAACTTGCATGTAGCCATTCTTGTATTGGAGGTCTCTGATTTCACCCCACTTCAAACTTATAAAACGACTTAGTACTTTGTCATATTCCCAGGAAGCTTCCACAGTGCTCTTAAGGATTCCATGGGGAGACGAGAGAGATTACAACTCATACCAGCAAACAGTAGATTGAAAATCCTTATTAGTCTGTTTCCTTCCCCGCTGACATTGCCCTTTGGCTGCCCCCGGGCCCCAGGCCCTTGTGTGTCTGGCCACTGCTCCCTTCCCCTAGCACAAATCAATGCCAGCCATAAGTTTGCTAAGCTCCCTCTCTAGAAAACAGAGCCTTGGGTCAACAGGGGCTTCCTCAGCTCGCAGCGAGATACAGCCTTCACCCATTCAGCCTTGAGCACACTTCTTCAAGTCTTACCTCATCCACATCTTGCCAATCAAATAATTCACTTCACCAAAGCAGTTCTCTGTCTAGTGGGAGTTCTGTCTCTCACAAGCAGATAACACAGTTTCCAATCGTGCAGAAATGGTGACCCTGGGAGGGCAGAGTCTAAATCTTTCTCATCTTTGTATCTTCAACATGAGCATCCGGCATGAGGCTCTGCATGCAGTGAGCAATTCAAGACGTGTTTGCAGACTTGAGAAGGCAAACCCGGAAGGAGATGTTCGCTTGGGCACTCAGTACAGTTTAGAGAAATCAGAATTCCAGTGGGATGGGATGAGCAGAGCGGGCCCATGGAGGCGGCAGGACCAGAGCCGGAGAGGGGTGGAATGAAAGCTGTGAAGGAAGGCTGAGGGCTTCGAGATTAGGGCAGAGGGGTTAGCACACAGGTACAGGGTGCGGACAGACGTACCGAGACAGTGATTCAATGTCCTGGGTAGGTCCAGGTGAGAAGTGGGTATTGGCATTACCTCCCCGCCCCCGCAACATACCAAACCAAACCGGTAGACCTGGGCGGCATACTATTTTAGTGAAGGCCATTAAAGCAATCAGAGGCCAGCCAGAAAACAGAATACACACTATTTTGACCAGGGGAATATAAGGTCCAGCAGTGGTTCTTAAAGTGGGGTCCCCCAGACCAGCAGCATTTGCCTCACCGGGGAACTTGACAGAAAAGCAAATTCTCCGGCCCCGCCCCAGGCCCGATACTGCCTCAGAAACTCGGGTAAGGGAGGCGGGGGGCAGCAATGTGTTCAACAAGCCTTTTAGGTGATTCCAATGCAAGCTCAGGTTCGAGGACTGGGGCTGTCAGGAACTGATGTAACAGGTGTTAAGGACTGGCAACACGAAATGGAGACCCTAGGCTGACTCAGAGATGATAATCTCAGAAAGCAGCTAGCATTCCCAGGGCTGGAGGCACTAGCACCGACACGCTTGAGAGAGGCCAGGGCGCTGGGTGTCAGACCTTTGAGGAGATGACATTGTGTCCTGACACCAGCGGCAGCTGGGAGGAGGGGAAGGAAGGGCTTAGGAAGCCCCCCAGCGCTGTATCCCACTGGTCCTCCCCCCCCCCCCCGCCGCCCCCAGGGCTGTGTATTGACAACAGAACGGGAAGCAGCTGACAAGGCAGAACTAGAGCCGGGGTAGTGTTGACCCAACATCACAAAGCAGAGGAAAAAAGCACTGGTTCGAAGCCGGGATACAAGAGCTTATTAACTGGTACAACCATCTCGTGCTCCAGCTTCTGAATGAAATTCAGAAGAGCAGCCCATTTGGAAGACAAATTATTTGACAGTTCTAACGGACGACCGAAATACCGGTATTTGAAAAGCAAGATGACTCAGAGAATGCAGAGTTTAATCCAAGTCCCAGATCTTATCTCAGCCCTTGGCCAGGTCTAATGCAAAGAAAACCTGAGCACAGAAATATATGCGGGAACACACAGACCCTGTGCTTACATTATATCTTATTTATCTTTGAACTTCTTGTAAAAGCAGGTCCTCAATAAAGGTTTGTGGATGAGGAAGGAAGAGAAGGGTCGGAAAAGAAGCCAGCTCCAGATCCATCTTGCAGAAGAAAAAGGCATAGTATTTGTAGCTTATCTGCTTTTTTAAGCCCCAAATCCTTATTTTTTAAAGACCAAAAATTTCAGTAACTTTTAAAAAACTGTGCACGAGAACAAAACATGTTTAAGGGTCAAATGGACTGATGGTTGGTGACCTTTGGGGGTAAACAGATCACTCCTGAATCACAGACTACCTCCTTCTGCTTCAGTCGACATACAGTAACCAGAAGGCCCTGGCATTTTGGAAATGTTTATCTGAAGTTGTAAAATTCACAGAGATCCCAGCTCTACACCCTAATTGTGGACGGATGAGGATTTACAGCCTTATCACAAGCACTGTAACTCTGAGCCAGTAGATTCACAAACAAAGAAGGGAGGGCCTGTATTAGGAAGTCCTTTTGTTCCCGCGTGAATCACACTCCACTGGAGACCCCCTTACTGGCCCATGGGGGAGCAGCTCTCTTTCATTGAGACTCCTCCCCTGTTTCTCTGCCCAGGCAGCCTTCCTCACAGTCCGCAGGGAAAACTCCTTCCTCCTTAGACCTCCTTTCTCTTCTTCTCTCACTCACCCTTGGGTTCCCCAAGATTCCCCCTTTCCTTGTGCAGCTATCATTCAGGTCTACTGTCCAACCCCTTGCTGGATGGGGACCCAAGGCTTGGCATCCTGAGGCATGAAGATGGGGGAGAAAGAAAGGGAAGGGGTCTTCCTTCCACACGGCCGGAGTCACAGTGCTCTGAGCATCCCCTTCTGTGTTCCAGTGTGCATGCCAGACCCTGGAGGCAAAGAAGGAAAGGTAATAGACCTGCGGATGAGGCCACTAAAGGTTTCATCGCCACAGTGGGCTCATGCTATGGCCTGATAACATGTTGCCCTCCTGGACCAGATGTTGCTGCCACTTCTCACGGCTTCCAGTTTGGTCCATCCATTCCTCAGCCTTCTTTGTGCTGCATTTCTGTCCAGTGTCAATGTTCACAAGACCCACGCAACTCAGTCCATTTGCTCTTTCTCATCTTGCCAATTATAAACTAGATTTGAGGAATTTTTCCCCAAGTTAGGATTTTGGTAATACCTTAATGGTCCCCCTTAGTTCATTTTGGGCAGTGATTCTCTTTCTGGACTACACACTAGGATCCCTTGAAGAACTTTCTAAAAAACTTTCTAAAAATACACCAGGCCCCATGCTACACTAATTAAATTGGAGTCTCTCAGGGTGGAGTCTGGGTACGGGTGTTTTTTTAAGCTCTCTCGGTAATTCTAACGTGTGACCAGTGCTGAGAGCTGTTGACTGAGGTGAATATATTTCCCTTATTCAACAAACCCTGACTGGGAGGCCACTGTGTGCCCGCCATTACAATAGGCACTGGTGCTAGATACCACAACCAGTCAGGCGCACAGTCCTGCCTTCATGGAATCTACAGTCTGGTGGGAGAGTCAAACAAAGGCATACATAAGTAATGAAAGATGACAATCATTTCAATAAGGTGATAAACGTGCTGTTGGAATAGAGAATGAAGGGAAAGGGGGGATGGGGCTTTGATGCAGTGGTCAGTAAGTAGTTCCAAAGAAACAAAGGAGTTGAGGACCCCCAGAGACTTTCCCAAGGAGAGGAGAAAGCACATGTGAACATTCTAGGGAAAGAGGTCGGCCCACAGTAGGAACGGAAAGAAGGCCCCTGTGCCTTGGAGCAGGTAATGAGGGAGAAATGGCAAAAAAAAAAAAAAAAAAAATCATTAGCAAGACCTGTTGATGCCAGTTAATGTCATACCCCATGGTAAATCTTTTAGAATTGATTCTAATTGCATTGAGAAGCTTGCGAAAGATTTTTAAGAAGATGTCGGAGAGCTGATTTACCTTTAAAGAAATGTCTGGGGAAAAGACTAGGCTATTGCCTTGGACATGGAGAGAGAGGAATGGATTCTAAAAATATTTTGAGAGTAAATCCAAAACCTTTTGCAGGTGGCTTAAGCAAGTAGACAGTGGTAGCAATAACCAAGGGGAAGAACAGACTTAGAGTTTTGGGCAAGAAAGAGCTAGAAGGAGGAGCTTAGCACTAGAAATCAATGTACTCTTCATGCTATGTCAAGTTTAAGACCCTAGGAGGTATCTGAGTAGAGATAG